TACTGAAGACAAAGACACAATGCTTTACAGTCAAGAGGAAAAAACTCTTATGTTTATTAGCCATGAATTTCACATTGTGAAAAAAATCACATGTACAAAATAATGCCATAAAAAATAGAAATTAAACTCTTACATGACAAAGAAAATGAAACTGATACACATTGACAGTCAGTTCTGTCTAATTTTACATCATTATGCAAAGCGGGACACTGCGCGCCAATCTGAGCCAGCTGGATTTCCAGATAAATCCGAGGATAAGCGGAGGGCAAGAGTAGAAATGGGAAGTGCCACTCGGCAATTAGGTGCAAATTGAGGGGGCATTCATTGCTCGCTGTTGCTAGGGAAACTTGCGCTCTATGGGAAAGCAATGCTCCTCTGATTGGTGGGGCCAGAAACCCTGTGCTCAGTGGTTGGAGGAGGTCAACATTATGAAGCCCCAAGGGTCTCCAAAGAAGTCCTGAAATTGCCAATAAAAGGAAAACATCTTTTGGGTGGCTTCAGGAGCAGAGCAGGAATTTATAGAGCTGTTTTCCCACAGATTAGACTTTTGTCATGAAGGACGTTTGAAAAGAAATGTTTACATATTCCACCAAAACATAACCTCTTACATTGAATTCAATGATCCCATTAATATTCAAATGTAAAACATCCATGTTTAGGCAGTTATAGACAGACATACAGACAGAAAACACTGATTTGAGTTACAAGTGTTATACAAGTGTTTAAGACATTCTCTCTTTTTGGTCTTTAGGAACTTGCAATGTTGTTTTTTTCATATTTTTTCAATGTGCATTATTGACACTATGGTGAAAAGCACTGCGGTGTCTGCCCTTATCAATGCACAGCTTAATGGATTCAACTCTTTCTCAACCTAATGGTGAAGAAGACTGGGTTTACACCCCCGATGAGTTAAGTTAACACATGTGACAGTCCTCCAGTTGTCCTTGAGACAGCTGGAGGAATGTCCCACTCTGAACCATGTCAGGGTTAGTTACAGGGTCACATACTGCACTTTTTCCAGGTTTGATACTTTCTTGATTTGTTGGTACTGTTTGGCCCCCCGACGGCACAATTTAAGACAGGCTTGGACCCAACAGTGAGCTTTAAAATAATCGATCAAAAGGGATAATATTTCAACCCCGTTCAGTCTTCCTATGTGGGCAGCAGCCTAAACTGCTTCACCCCATCAGTAATCCGTTCTTCCTCTTCTACACTCGTTTAACTTTTTTAAAAACAAGTTCCTCCTGGTAAAGAGTGAATTGTGCAAAATGCAGCCCGACTGAGATCAAATAAAGCACAACACCTGACCATGCATGACGCAACCCGAACATACATTCACATAAGAATGCAGGCAGAGAAGAAATAAATAGGATTAAACATATTAAAATAACAGAGTAATCATCATTGTCATATAAATTAAGACTACATTGCAGCGAGGTTTTAAAAGAAAAGAAACTGATTCATTCTCAGTTCAGTTTAAGGTGACAAGATTTCTGTGACAAGAGAAGGGTTCATGCCAGAGTCACTGAATCACTATGCGTGGACATGCTGTAGGAAGGTTAAGCGGTGACTCAGCAGGCGAGCAACTGCTTTTTATCAGAATAACAGAAGCTGCGTTAAGTGTACAGCTGAATGTGACAGTTTTCTTTATGAATACCGCCTCTGTGTACAGTGGGTTAGTTAACCGGCACTCAGCGGGCGTTAATGCTTCGCTGCAAAACAGCAAACATGTAAGGTCGCAACCCCAAGCACCTCCCCACAGATCCCCTTCATCCTCCTCAGCTTCAGCTGGTGTTGGTCGTCAACACCTCGTGGCTTGCAAGTGACAGCAAACGGCCAAAGCCTTCATGAGAGGAACACTTAAAAGGTTTTCTTTTGACCGTCAGAGCTGTTGAAAGAAACGTCTTTGAAAGAAGGAAAAAACAAGGGTCAAACAAAAGAGCTTATTAGAGGAGAGAAAGGGGGAGAATTGCTCCTTCATTGTGCCTTTTTTAAATCAGCTATATTCAGTCAGTTCCTCAGCACACCAACATTGCATTCTCCATCCCTCAATCTAAGTAGAACATCCATCATGCTATACATTGCAGCCTCGATGAATAGAGTATTATTTTTCAGCTTTTTTTATCATGGAGAAAAACATCAATACAGATCCGCACAAGCCTGTCATGACTAAATGGGAGAAATGCAGGCTGTGTGTTATATTTGCAGTCCTCTATGGCAGCATGAAAGCAGGAGCCTGATATGCCAGATGTACACAAGGTGGTAGTTTGTGCCTCATGTAACAAGCAGCAGTTTGTTTGCGCGAGCTACTGTGCTGTATGCCTCAGCTTCTTTCTCGGAAATGAAGGACGACATCATTCCATTGAAAGTGTCCAGCTATTGTCCAGTTTCTGCCTCTTCTGCGACAACAAGATGAATGCGGGTGTCTGTACATCACTGCTTAGTTTCTCTTCTAGAGGAAGAGGATGTGTGCTTCTTCACAGTTGGAGTCCAGTAGATGATGCAAAACAGGGAAATCTGAGGAAGACAAAAGAATCATTTGTTAAATGGGTATGACGCCTTTAACTCAACAGTTAAAAGGTGACTTTTTCATTATTCAAAGTGAAAAGGAATCCTAGAAACAGAGAACAATACACGAGGCTCAGGCATACAGCTGCTTGATTACTAGGCCTTTAAATGTTGATATATCACATGATGGTATTGACCTCCATCATTTTTGTTGACCTCAATACTGTGTCAACATTCTTGTATGTGCACATATTTTTGGATATTCTGGTATTGCATTTTTAGTTTGACTCTTAAACAATAATAATAATACTTTTGTTTTCTAAGCGCTTATTCAGGTGCTCAAAGACACTGTGGTGGCATGTATTTGGTTTCTGGTACTTTGTTTTTCAACCTCCAAATATCTACAATTACATTCAGTCACCCCGAAAATAGGACTGCATTATCAACACGGAAGGCAGTCAAAAATACTTCGTTATTGTATTCTCTCAAAACCCACTAAATGCTTTCCAAGGGAAAAACTACAGAAAGGAAGTAACTCAGACAAGTTAGGATTGTTCCCCTGGGAAAAACCGAGAGAACTTCTTCTTTCTCTCAGCTACAATCTCCTTCTGTGAGGTCTAACATACTTCCTTCCCCTTTCATTCCTAAACAGTCGGCCTTCTTTTCCATTCCTCCACATTTCGTCTTTTCAACGCTTCCAGTGAGGAGACTGTCAGTTGCCATGACAGGCAGGCGCACCAAAAACAAATTCAGTATTAAATAAGTAGCAGGATTATGTCCTTCACTGAGCACTGTGTTGCATTGGCTTAGAGATAGTTCAAACCTTCAGTCTACTCTCTCCTTTTCAGAGATGAGTCACTGAAAAGAAAGGGAATAATAAGTCTTAACAAATATTTCATCCTGTGGAGAGTGGAGGAACATCACAGTATGTGAAGCTGCTCTGCTGCTTCCTGGCATTATCACATGGGAAACTGTGCCTTTGCTGGACAGCTGGGGAGTCATTCTTCTGCTCTCATTGGCTTTCTCAGGAGCTTAGAGCCCCGAGCCATTTTAATAAATACAGCAAAATGAGAAAGACTGCCTGCATGGGTATGTGTGGGGGCAACAGTGTAGGGTGTAGCGATAGTTTAATGTGATTTGATCATGAGCCTGCAGCATGCAGAACGATCCGCTTTGCCAGCTGACTACCCATGCTCCACATGCGTCTGGCCTGATCATCATCAGAGCAGGAGAGCAGGGTTACATTGAGGTAAAGAAGACATAGATGGAGGCAGAAGAGACACTAGAGTATCACAGGAAATGTTCAGACCACCACTAACAAGGGCTGAGGGGGGAGGAGGTGTACGATTCTCCCTCCTCACTTCCTTTCCTGCCACATCTCTGTCACCTCTGATGAATGGTTTCCGACACTGCATGAGTCGCCGGCCTGCCTTCCCTCTCACCGCCGTAAAGACCATAACCTCATCAAAGGAAGGCGGCAGAGAGTGGATTATCCTTGCCAGGGTGTTGTAGCCTGCTGGTGTGTGGCTTGTCTAATTGGTAGACCCCCATTTCCCTCTTAGAGGGATTTCCCCCACAGGAGCAATAAAAGTATCCTATTCTCTTTCAATTACCCTCTCTGTCCTTCAGCCCATCCCCACAGCAGCATAACTCACTTAACTAACGCACACAAGCCCCCATCAATCCCCCCACCCTGCCTCCGCGAGAGCTCCTTTCTCGCTTCTTCTGAGAATACTCCACTTACAGTGTTTCTCTTATTCTGAAAATATGAGACACCCAACACACATACCAACATCAATGCAAGGTATCACAGATTGTCATATATGTTGACAGATTTGCAAATACAGCCTACATCAATGTTTTATGGATTGCATTTTTAAATATTTTTGACCTATTTATCTCTGTGTCTCTGCCAGATTAGAAGCATCACTGCCAACCTGATTCTGTTTATGTGGAGTGAAGTGTGAAAATGAAATATATGCCAATATATTTGCTTATATTCATTATTATTATTATATAAATACACTGTATATATTTAAGATATGGAATACTTATTTGAATCTGCCTCAAAAACACCACATTGATTTGGCTGTAATTAATTAACAAACAAATAAATACAACCGTGCACACTTTAAGAATGCAAATGAACATCAATGTTGCACCGTTAGCTAAAGGAAAAAAACCTGTCAAACTGTTACTGTCTTGTTATTATATAGAAGACAGACTCACTATGGGCAGTTTAAAAGGCTGCAGGAATAGAGCTTTTATCCCATTCTCCTTACTTGGCAAAAGTAGCCTTGAGCGGCTAACCACATGCAGAGATGAGAAATGGGCTACATAAGTCCGGTAAGCTCATTTTCCAAACTCTAGATTGTTTTCATTTCGAAATGTGTAGTCTTCAGACCCAACTTAATGCCAATTATCTTTGACATATTTACCCCCCAAGACCTATAAACAGACAAAGAAAAGTGAGATGTCAAACTTACCTCATTGAGAAGGTGTAGGAAGAGGGTTTTGGGGCTCAAGCGGGCAGATGCTTCCAGGTGCTGACGAAAGCAGTGGGAATGAGTGAGTATGGCACAGTAGTGATGCTGTTCCAAGCATCCAGCGTGGGGTCATAGCAGTCCAGAGTTTACACCGCTGTGTGCCAAAGTACCCACCCACAACGTACAGTTTATTTCCCGATGCCACAGCCTGGCAGCTCATGCGCTTGGCCGTCACGTCGCCAACTTTAGTCCACTGGTAGCTGTCACTGCTGAACTTATAAGCAGAGCATGCAGAGAACTCTGTGTCCCCGCCCATGACGAAGATCTGGTTTCCCAGCACGGCAGCGGCTGTGTAGCGCCAGGGCTGCGGGCAGGACGCGGGTACAGACCATCGGTTCTCCTGCGGATCGTAGCACTGCACCTTGGGCAGCTTGTCGTGGGTGACGCTGGTTCCTCCGAAGGCAAAGAGCTTGAGCTTGACGCTGACCACCGCTGCATTGCTCACACCCTCTCTCAAAGGAGCCACCATTGTCCACTTGTTCGCCACTGGGTCGAACTGCTCCACCTGTTTGAGGGATACCGATGGAGAGGCTGGAAGGCAGCCGGTGGCAGCTGTGTGACCTCCCACCACGTAGAGGCAGTGTTTCAGCTCCGCAGAGCCATGGCCAAACCTGGCAATGAGCATGGGTGCCGCCTTCGACCATTCCTCTTGGACGGTGTCATAGACCCACACATCTTTGGATACACCATTCTCTGAACCTCTGCCACCGGTGATGTACACATTACAGCCAATGGCGCAGGCGCTGAACTCCTTCCTGGGGCTGGGGATGTCAGACTTGGGGATGATCTCTTTGGCTTTCTGGTCCACCAGGTACAACTTGTCACACATGAAAGTCTGCCCTCCCAGAAGAAAGAGGGCATGGCTGGTCTTCCTTGGTCGGGCACAAGGGCTGTTAACCACGCCATCGTTCTGCAGGATCTTCAGCTTACAGCGGATAGCTTCATCCACCAGCTCCTTGCTCTTAGGCTGGCCGTTGATCAGCTCTTCTGTAGAAACGTTCTCCATGAGAAAGATGGCGGGCAGCAGGGCCAGGCGGACCGTTCTCAGGAGCTCTGGAAGGTGGCAGTGCCTCTTTTCCAGGTCGTAGTTGATCCAGTTAAGGGCCGCCTCATAGACCAGTCTCTCATCTTCTGTCTCTAGCTCCTCATGGGACAAAAGCTGCACCACCATATCTTTGGGCAGTTGGAGGAAGTCCTCTGTCTTGCAAATAGTGGGAAAGTTGCTGAGACACATTCCCCAGGAGAGCTCTGACAGCTTGATGCACTGGTGGGCGTCAGACAGCAACAGCATGCCAAGGCAGTTAGACGGGTGCAGGTTTCTCTCCAGGAATTCAGCGCAGGCATCCCGGATGTCCTGAAACTCCAGCATGTCCCCAGCCTCCAGTAGAGACTCTGCGTTTTCCTCATTGATGACCACACGTGATGAGTAGGCGTAATCCAGCAGGAGCTCTAACACCTCCGGGTGAAGGGAGTCACGGAAGTCGACCTCGCTGGCCTGACTCTCCCTCAGCCCGCCGCTGAACATGGCCTCAAAGTAGCGGCTGCAGGCGGCCAGCACGGCGCGGTGGCATGGGAAGGAGCGGCTCCCCGCATGAAGCAGGACGTCTGTGAAGAGCCGCTGCTGCCGCAGAGAGTTGAGGTGCATCAGCACACTGTCCGCATAGGAGGACTTGTGGAACAGGTAGATGTTCATCGAGCCGGTGCTGGCTCGGGATTTCCGGTTCTCATGGACACACACAGACATTTTCATTGAATCCTGAAAAAGAAAAGACAAGATTTCTTAAATACATTTTATAATGAAAGTCCATTCAGGTGCGGTGCCCCCACAAATATAATCAAATTCTGTGGGAAACACTGCCGTTACACAAGATTATTCAATGTTTTGCTGAGTAGAGGATTGGTATGAGTTCGGGTTCAGTTTTGTGTTCATGTGGTTTTTGTCTTTTCAAACAGGAGGTAAATTAAATGGTTTCAAATTAATGTGTTGGCTTTACTGTAGGTGCTCGTTCACTCGTTGAATTCACAATCATCTTACGTTTTTTATCTTGTTGTTGCTACGATCATAAGCTGATAGAGTCCTTCTTACTGACTCAAAGTGAAGACAGTCGAACAAAGAGCGCAACCCCCTTCAACATCAGCTAAAGGGGTGCCTTTGATGTGTCAGTAAGACAACGAGAGCAAACTCCTAAGTAAAATGACACACATCAATTATATCTGCTAGGTGAAGAACATTTTGTGAGTTTAGCACCATGATATTGAGTTTCCCGTAACGAGGAAGCAAGTTTCAATAATGATATAGAAACCTGTTCCCGTCAAAACACAGTTTAAGGAAGGAAATTGGATCATTATAGTGTTATGAGAAATGATGTTCTATATTGGATCCATCTATATTCACTGAAGAAGTGTTATTGCCTAATCTCAGCCATGACACTGGGATATTGATGCTGAAATATTGCGTTTTGCAACTGTAATATCCATATTATGATGATGATGTGCCTTTTTGGTGAGTATTTCAATCCTTCCCCAGAGATACATTAAGCAAGAGATCCGTGATTACAAGTTGCACAACAGCAGACGCCTGGGAGTTATGAAGGTCAAGTAGATAACTATTGTCTTCTCGCACCACCAAGAGGCTTTTCTGCTCCAAACCCCAAGCAGCACTAATCCCCTTCTTTTAGAGATACCATGATTTACAAGTAAGTCTCTCTTTGCAGAGGTCTTTATAAAGTGAGGAGAGAAGGAGACAGCGGGACTCCTTTAAGCCTCTGAGTAATGCACAGAATTGACTCCACTCCCCTCCAGAAAGTCACAGCCTATCTTCACTGTCCTTGCCCTGTCCTCGCTCAGAACTCACATTCATTTGAACCAGTTTCTAGAATTGTCAAAAGTCTCTGGCACTATGTTTCGACAGGTACTGTGTCCCTGAATGACCTAGTAAATCACTCCAAATGATGTAAGGAGTGGTAGAAGTTTGCTTCCTTTGAAAGTATACTTAAAGAAAAATGATACTTCCAAAATCTGCCGTTTACATATCCAAACAGGCATGAGATGTTTCTAGTTTTCTCAAACAGTTATCAGCTTCAATTATTTCAGCTTGGTTCTTTTTTAAATATTTGCACCTGTAGTGTCTCTGGCATTTTACACCTTACATAAAGTGTTTGATTTTTTTGTCAACTAAAACTTCAAGATTTAAAGAGTTCAAAAGTTCCCAGATGTCATAAGTGATCTACAACCTCGCTGCAAAAACGAGTTTCTATTTTCTTTACATTGCATCATCTGCTCATGATCCTCAGAATGTTGTTTCATGAATAGACAATCAGGTGTGACCCACACTAACAATTGAAAATCCAATGCTGAGCTGTGTTGCTCAATCCTTTATCTTCAACCAAATGTTATTTTTATGTTACAAGTTCCTGGGAAATGACGAAATCCAGTTAAACTAACTTCCAAAACCAGCTGCAACCCAGACACCCAGACTGGCCGTTTGGCTGCAGCTGTCAAAGGGGAAACACAACCTGTGTTAGCAAAAGGTATTTACTTTATGATATCCTTCACAGTAGACATTTGAACATATACAATTGCTGATCACCACTGTCATTGAATTTTGGATGATTTAGTCAACTTTGTTCCCGGTCAAAAATGACCGCCATAAAGAAAAGGAATTAGTAACCATCCGGATCAGATAAAACACACAGACAAACACCGACGCACGCACACACACACACACACACACACACATACTCTAGATGTGTTCCCCCCCCTTATGTGCCCATCCCCCCATGTGAATCACACCTGGCACACACAAACACACACAGAACAATTTGACACATTTCCCGCTCTTATGTGCCCATCCCCCCACATGGATCACACCTGGCAAAAAATAATAATTTGCAAACGCAATACATGTTCAGTGTCTGTTCTTTGTATATTTACTGCAGTTTTTCATGTATACCAGTAGTCTGATACAATATTTACAGTTTGAAAGGGTGTTAAAGGAAATGTGGTGATGATTAATGGTTTTTGTGTTAATGTAATAGCAGTTAAAACAGGACCGGTCAAATTTGACCGCGAACACCAAAGTAAGGGGGGGGAAACGAAGACAATAGGAGGGTTAAACCACTTGCATTGCATTCCAAGCTAAGCCTTTAAAACAGGAGCCAACACTCAAAACAGGTCAGGAAGCTTGCAGGGATAGAAGATAACTTGTTTTAATTCTATATGAAGCTACAACCATGAGTACATTCTCAGGAAAAAATACCATGTATTTTGAGGATCAAATAATCACAAAATGTCCGAAAATGCAGTTTTCAGCCCTTCAGATAGTATTTAGTATTAGTAGTATTATAAAGTAGTATTTCCTACTTTTCTCTGCTTTAATCATATTAATATTTATATCATTGGTTTTTGTAATGATTAAACAAGACATTCAAAGACACAACCTTGGACTTGTAATTCATTTGCAGATTATTCTATGATGAAAATAATCGTTAGTTGCAGCCTTATGGAAGTGCTATAATAAGAAAGTGTGTGTGTTACCATTCTTTACAAGCCAATTTTAATACGTTTTGAAAAGCCTCAAACAATATTACTTGGAATAGTTTGACATTTAGTACCGGCATTTAATTACATTCCCATACAAAAAAACGAATTCTCCATCTCATTATGGTCGCAGTTTTAAACAAGTGGTTAACGGTTTAAATTGCAACCAAACAAAAACACAGAAAAACGACTAAAATGACTTGCTTTGGTTTAGAAAATGATCATGGTTTGGTTTAAAATAGCATATTACTTTTGATACATTATTTAATGTGATGACATAACAAACATAATTCCATGTTGGTTTTTAATTTCACGTTAATATAATTATTCCGTTTAAAGCCATGCAGTAGGTTAAACATAGTTAAATGTAGTTCTCATGGAAAGTATTCCATTTAGAAGTTTTCTTCATCCAACACACTGTACTTTAATGATAATAATAAGAGCAAGATCTTCCTTTATCACAAGTTGATTAAATACAAAACCAACCGCAGCAGCCTTGGTTCAACAGGATTTATTGCATTCCAGCTATGGCTCAGCTATAATGAGAATACCTTAGCCTGCTCTCACACCTGCAATCATCACCTCACACACACACACACACACACACACACACACACACACACACACACACACACACACACACACACACACACACACACACAGTACTGATGCTGCAGTATGCATGTTTGTTAATTGTAAGTTGTAAGTGACTTGATTTGAATAAGTGGCCCTAATAAATCACCACTTGGAGGAGGTTTTGCAGATACTAATAATTAGCATGTTAACAAATATAACCTCCAGTCGTCAGGTCACTATCTGACTGGCAGATGAACACTTCAATTCACTTCTGACAGTGAAACAGTTGAGGACAAATCAACAGATGTGATCAAATGATGCGGTATGATAATGCTTTGCTTGTAGGAGGAATAGTGAAAATACAATGATTTCATATTTATTTAAAACATTTCTGCATTACCGAAGGTGTTTTGCATTTATTTGAACACCAAACAAAGTTGTCCTTGGATGAACGCGCTCACTCATTCATACAGTGAGCGCAGTGCAGCTGAACAAAGAGAAGAAGAGCAGAGATTTATGCTATTTGCATATTAAAGGATAAAGCCTGGATTAACAACTAAACCTGCAGGACCTGAAAACCCTGTGTTCTTTTATTTGTAATTGAAATAGGAATGGTCCTTTGTTATAAATGTGCTTGTCCACAGCATCGGCCCTCCTGTAGGCATGATTTAATAAATGCCAATAGCATCTGATCGGACCTTGAATAGTTTCAGAATTAAAAATCATAAATGTTTTAACACAAACTCTTGTTTATCTTGTATTCCAGTTCGTCCATTGTTCGGACTATTGGCTGTTATGTAAAAATGTTTTTCTGCAGCTACGTAACATCCCTCTGCATTTAAACTCAACACATGTAACACAGATTATTGGAGAAATCAGATTACTGCAACCTATATAACCATAATCCTGTTTCTAATCAGCCTCTAAACCGTGATGCATGTGAATGTAAACAATATTTATCGATTTTGAAAAAAGTAAATAAATTCACTTTACTATGTCCCTATTTCTGGCATTTTGTTATCTCGTAATTGTTTGGTTGAATCCTGGAAGATGAATGCAAAATGAAAATTATTGATATTATTTGTGGGCCATCAAGGAAAACATTTGTTGACAACTTTGCTTAACTGTTGTCACTGACTGTCAGTCTTATATCTCCTCTTGAAATGAAAGTTTACTAATGCCGTAAATAAGAAAAAAATCCTTACTTCAAGTTTGTAATCTTGATATAGAAAAAGTAATACCCTAAACATGTTGGTCACCCCACCTCGGTTTACATGTGGATTTACAATGGTATTACATGTTGCATACTTCTGAGGGAAATTATATGAGAAGACTTCGAGGAACTAGGTTGGATATATTTTTCTTATCGGACAATTGTTTCATTATCCAAAAGCGCTACACATCCTCTTCTCAGCTTCTCAAATATGAGGATGTGTTGCTTTTCTTTGTCTCATATCATAACAGTCGGACTACCTTTATGTTTTGGGAGTGTTTGTCAGACAAATGTGTAGTGTGAAGACATCACCCACTAAATTGGAACATATTTTAGACCAAAAAATTAACCAACTAATTAAAGAAAGTAAGATTAATTGCTAATTAATGATGATAATATTGATTAAATGCCAATTACATTTGGTTGCAGACCTCAAATCAATACTTATAATCATTACCATCTATAAAAAATAAGTGCTCATGGTATTGTTACTCCCCTATCTGTGTTATGTCCCAGTAACAGAGTGCATTCACACCGACGTGCCCTGAGAGGAGGAAAATATGCCATCAGTGTGAGAGCGAGCTCTTGGCTGGATGTCTGTGAGAGTTGTCATCCTCACAGAAAACAGATCACAGCCACAGAGCAGCAGAGCACATACATGCACACTCACAAAGCACTCAGTCAAAAAAAAGAAACAGCCATGCCGCCTCTGGTCTCTCTCTATCTGAGGCCTGGCTGCAGTCTGTTTAAAATCATTGCCAGGTGTTCACAGTCAACCATGGACGCAGGAAGAGGGATTGGTGGGAGAGACTTCAAAAGTAAACACCGGGCGTATGTGGGCCAGATCTGTGCATCTGCCACTTGGAGGGGGAAGAAATAATTAAACAAGATGCAGAACATGGGGACACAGCCAGCAGCTCAAATCTCAAATGTATAGTCCAACCCCAAGTGTCCACACACACATCTGAGCAAGATTTGTACCAAAGCCCCTGCCTGCACTGAGAACATAGTGTTGATCATCACCAAGAAGAGCGTGTCACACCTGATGTCGCCTTCAAAACATCTCGAGCATGCAGGGAGGAGATGCCGAAGAGAGCACAAAGGACTGAGAGGGAATCTCATGAAAATAAAGACAATCAATACCAAATTATAGCTATATTGTCAGAATAAAGGAATGTCAACAACAATCTTTTGTCCATAAGCCTGCTTTCTGTTACGCTTTCTCTGCCACTGAACCGGAGTTTTCCTTTATTAAAAAGGGATGCTGTTACAATACAATAATAAGCTATAACGGGAGATGAGAGTAATTGTTCAATTTACCTCTTTGGGTGAAAGCAGGAGTTCATTTGGGTCCGCAGTATCCCTCGAACATGCCACTTCTGACAGAGCCACGATGCAGCCTTGCGCTCGGGAGTCACAACTCCTTGGTAATTTCCGATAAGCTGCTGGCGGATAATCAGGGAGGATGAGGACGGTTCTGTCAGATAACGCGCAACAGTGTGTAGAAAATCTGGAAATGTTAGTATAGATAAATGAAGCGTAAAAATGAACGTGCTTTAGAGTAGAGGATGAGCTGTTTGGAGGCGGCTGCTCGGCTCCTGTGTGGCGGTGCGGCTCCTGCGCTCCCAGTCCTCCTCACTGGATCAATGGGTGTGTTTACAACGAGAGGGGGAGGACCGGCACCGCGCAGGAAATGAAGAGGGGGTGGGGGGGGAGAGAGAGGGGGAGAATGCAAAAAGATGTGAAGGTCTCCCAAGGCAGGAGTTTCCTCCCACACACACAAACAAACACATCTCCGTCTGATTTAGATTCTTTAGGTTGAAGTATTTCAAACTACTGTGTATACTCACTACACAATTTCATAAGCCTCAACTCAATCTAGACAGGAACCTTTTAGCAGTATAGTGCGAAATATCTATATCCTTTATAAAGAAAGTGGAAAGTACTTGTTAAAGTAACAATTGTACTACTTTACTTGAGTAGCCAATTCCCATTTGTTGTGCTTGTTTGATTCCCTGCATTTCAGAAGGGATGATTTACCTTTAACTTTACTACATCAGATTTAGATAATATAATACCAAATCACAGACAAAACACCTTTGGGTTGAACTCAAGGCATCAATGTATGTGGTGGGGGTAGCTCAGTCCACGGGGACCGGTTCAAGTCCTGAAACGACAGAGCGGCCCCTGAGCAAAGCATTGTTCCTACACTGCTCCCTGGGTGCAGAGACCTTGGTTTAGATATGATAATGTCAAATCAGTCGCGGACCGCAAGAACATTTGTAGTAAAAGTTTGAGTAATTGAGTATTTGCATTTTAAACTAAAGGTATATAATATACAATAATGTCAGAGTAAACGTAATCAATATTTTAGTGTAGCGCTTGAGTATTTCTATTTTATGCTTTATTTCTACTTATTTAAAGTAAGTTCAAACAGGCACAACCATACCATTTTTTGTCTGTAGACATAACCTAAATGTTCTAACTACAGTACAGCAATGAGAGACGCTATGGGAGAGTTTGGAACGTTTTGAACCAATCATTTTAGAGTGTAACTTTAACTCTATAGGTTGCATTTGTTATTTTAAATCTAGTTTTTGAAAGATGTTAGATTTTAAAGACACAAATGCACAAATCCATTGCCACTGTAGCTGATGGTAGGTTAGTAAAGTAAAATAAATGTTTTGTTTTTATGCTTATGCAAAAACAAAAACAAAAAATGACTGTGACATTTTAAAAACAATATCGTGTAAAAGAGACTTGTTGTTTTATGGAGCCAAAGCAAACTCACCACAGGATGCCATAGACATACAGTAAATCCCATAGGATTATAAAGACATTGTGGTTTCTGGTTGGGGTAGCTGGAAACAGGAAGTCCAATTATATCCCTGGACATCTTGTGTGAGTCACATCTGTGGTCTCTTGTCGGGACTTTTGGCTGTGACTGCACTGCAGTGGACCCTCGAGGCTATGATGTTATTGTTTTGTTTGTTTGTATGTGCTGTGGTGATCGGAGCGTTAACATACTCTCATCCGGTTTCCTGTCCCCCATCAGCTGCCTTTATGAAGACAGACATGACTCTATTGACTCTATTATTGTAGCTTCGTTTTCAGGAGATCACAGCAGAGTGTTTCTTAGTGAAGAGTGGTTAGCTGTGAACAGAAACTCATTATGGCAGCAAACGCTCCATGTGACAGGAGAGACATCTAGTGGACAGCATCTATTTGGGACTAAAAGTGCCGAAGATTGAAAGCTTAAACCCAAGGGAATAATTCATTTATCTGTTTTCTGTTGTGTCTGGTTGAATTGGCTTAATTTCCTTGTAGTTTTGGGGTCTCAGATTTTGTGTTTGTATTTGCACTATCCTCCTTTAAATGCCCAATTTTATCGTTGTAACTTTAATTTTTTATATTTCTATTCTATGCTATTTTAAATGTGTTTCTATGTCGTTTACTGGTAACTGTATTCTATGTGATATCAATTTTCTGTGAGTATTTTAAGAGATGTCTACTGTGAAGCACATTGAATTGCAATTATTGTATGAAAGGTGCTACAGTATACAAATAAAGATTATTATTATTATTATTATTATTATTATTATTATTATTATTATTATTATAAATAAATAAAATACAAAAGGTATTTAAGAACAATACATTATGTCTGGCAGTAAATGCTACATGAGACACTAGAGACACCTAGTGGACAAAACAGTGTTTAAGAAGTAATCCAAACTGGCAAACTACATACACAAATGCATCTTTTTCCTATCTGCTTTTTATTTAAATGTGTTTCTCATGGTTATTTGTATTCTATTTTATTTTAAGTTAATAATGACTATTTGTTGTAGTTCAAATATTGTGCAAAAATAACATGTGAGTGAATATAAAGTGTAAGGTACAGATGCTAGCAGATATCAATCACTAAAACCTGTTCGACTAGTCGATGCCACATCATTTTCTTCTACTTAAAAATACCTCAATAATGTTAATAAGTAAAAACATGATCACATCCTTAGCACAACTCAGTAATAACTCTCTCACTCATTCTGGTTTTTGCAGTCGTCAGCTTTTACTGTAAACCACATCATTGTACTACAATTCAGATTAATTAATGTACTTTTAACTTGACTATTTCAGAATCAGATTATAATATACTGAATATCACCATCAAATCAACTATGACATTGTGTTCCTAATACTAGGATGTACTAGGATGGGTCAGATGCAGATACCTTTTCTTAAATCAAAGTAAAGTCAACTTTATTGTCAATCTTCTTATGTATAATATTATAGACTATATGTATATATATCTACAAGGCCTTGTCTCCCAGAGATCTGCCGCTCACTGGATATTTCCCCTTTTTCGGACCATTCTCTGTAAACCCTAGAGATGGTTGTGTGTGAAAACCCCAGTAGATCAGCAGTTTCGGAAATACTCAGACCAGGCCGTCTGGCACCGACAACCATGCCATGTTCAAAGTCACTTAAATCCCCTTTCCTCCCCGTTCTGATGCTCTGTTTGAACTTCACCAGGTCCTTGACCATGTCTCCATGCCTATAGATGCATTGAGTTGCTGCCATGTGATTGGCTTATTAGATATTTGCATTAACGAGCAGTAGAACAGGTGTACCTAATAAAGTGGCCAGTGAGTGTACACATACATAATCAAACATAGACACACATTTTCATATGCACACATTAAGAGGCATACATAGAAGGCACAACAGTCAATTTATACAAAAAACAAAATAACAAATAACAGTCACTTTAAATGGATGAGGATGGATATATTACAACAGTAAAAATATGTAAAGTCGTGCAAATGAATGAAAACTGGATGTGTGTGTGTGTGTGTGTGTGTGTGTGTGTGTGTGTGTGTGTGTGTGTGTGTGTGGTGTGTGTGTGTGTGTGTGTGTGTGTGTGTGTGTGTGTGGTGTGTGTGTGTGTGTGTGTGTGTGTGTGTGTGTGTGTGTGTGTGTGTGTGTGTGTGTGTGTGTGTGTGTGTGTGTGTGTGTGTGTGTGTGTGTGCTGTGTGTGTGTGTGTGTGTGTGTGTGTGTGGTGTGTGTGTGGTGTGTGTGTGTGTGTGTGTGTGTGTGTGTGTGTTGTGTGTGTGTGTGTGTGTGTGTGTGTGTGTGTGTGTGCGTGCGTGTGCGTGCGTGCGTTAAAATCCAGGTCCAGGGGGGAGAGTGTTCAGCATCCTGACAGCCTGGTGTAAAAAACTGTTCTTTAGTCTGGTTGTGCTCGACCTCAGGCTGCGGAACCTCCTCCCTGAAGGCAGGAGGGTGAAGAGGCAGTTGGAGGGATGGGTGGGGTCACCCACAATGCTGAGTGCTCTGCGGGTGAGGTGGGTGTTGTAGAGGTCCAGGAGTGATGGGAGTGAGGCACCGATGATCCTCTGCAGGGTCTTGCGGTTGGAGGCGGCGCAGCTTCTAAACCACACAGTGATGCAGCTGCTGAGGATGCTCTCCATGGCTCCTCGGTAGAAGGAGTGCATGATGGGAGAGGGGGCTCCTGCTCTCTTCAGTTTGCGGACGAAGTGGAGGCGCTGCTGGGCTTTTTTGGCCAGTGAGGAGGTGTTGTTCCTCGGTGATGTTCACCCCCAGGAATTCTGTTCTGCTCACCTGCTCCACAGCAGCACCACCGATGGTCAGTGAAGATCCCATCATCGTCGTGGAAACTAAGAACATTTATTAATTTAATAACTTTTTAGTTATTCAAATTGGCAAACTAACTATAACTGAACTAAAACTAAAATGTGAGTCAATATAAAGGGATAGCACCATGAGCCTCAGTTAAGGTTAAGGTTTACTCTTATTGCACAGATGTACGGGTTGCTGTAACTTGTGTTGTTCCTCCTTTAGTGGTAAGACAGTCGTGATGTAAGGTAGGGAGATCAGGGACAGTTGCAACACTTTTTGGGTTTTCCCCAATAAGTAAAAAACCATTTACACTAGGATAGCCATATACATTCTCAATGTGTCAACTACTGAAACAATGTATTTAAGATGTTTCTATGAAATAAGTACAGGTTGGAAAATGTATTTTAAAAAAAAAAACTCAACTGTTACAACGGTGTGTGACGGTTGTAACACATGCCAGGGACGGTTGTAACATGTTAATAACGGTTACCTTTTTCACACTACATGACAAAAAAGAGGGAAAGCTGTCAAATTCTAAGGCAACACGATTTTAATGGGGTTTCACACATCCTCCAACAAACAATGAACAATGAACAGAACTTCAAACAGAACACCAGATGGAATTAATTTGATTCACAGTTGTGGCAGGTGTAAAAGTCACTTCCATCTGTATAGATAGCCTATTCTACCTCAATGATGTAGACCTACCTCCTTTGAGCTGAGACCATATAAATCAGCTGCCTCCATCAGGTAGTCTCTCAAAAGCATCTCTTGCTCTGTTGAGAACACCTTCTTGGGTGTCCAGTAGCCTACTCTTTGGGGTGATTTGGATCCCTGACTCTCCAACCTCAGCCTCTTTTTATGGAACCGGTACAGGGTGACATGGCATATATCATGGGACTTTGTCACTGCCCTGACTGATTTGCCCTCCTGAACTTCATTTGAGGCCCTCTGCAGCAGAGGAAGTGGCACTCCCCTGTCTGTCTTCCTCTTTCTGATATTTGGCATACTGTAAACACACGCACACACTTTACGTACAGTATTTTACACACCAATCAACAATATTGATCATTCGAGCAAATGAGCCATCATTGTAAATGTGCCATGTTACAACCGTCCCAGGTGGTCCGTGTTACAACCGTCCCAGGTGGTCCGTGTTACAACCGTCCCAGGACCACCAGTCATGTTTTACCCCCTGTGAACCTGCCTGATTGCTAGCTTGACCCATATTTAGCTAGTTATGTGTTGAGCTTACAAAACAGTGATTCTAATAATACTAGTTTGGATTCCTAGACATTTGACCTCAAGACAGTATCCAAAAAATACATCATATAATTGTTGTTAATGTTTTACCTCAGAAACACACTTTTGCTGATATCTTTCGCGGCAGATTTAAACGTGGCTCCTTTTTTTCACAGTGACCTTTCCATCTAACTGAGCATGTGCATGAGTTTCATCACTCTAGCTTGTTTGTGATTGGAGATATTGAAGGAGTTACAACTGTCCCTGGTCTCCCTACATATGCTGGCAGATATCACACACTAAAACCTGTTGGACCAGTCGATGCAACATCATTTTTTGTATTGCTACTTAAAAATACCTTGATTATTGTTTGTAAGATTCTATATATTTAATAACAACATGATAAAGATCCTTGGCATAGCTGAGTAACCCTCTCACATGTTCTGGTTCATCCAGTTGGCAGCTTTAACTGTAATCCTCATTTCATTCTTTCTGCTTTTAGAAACAGGTTTAAATTAGCAGAGTTACCTCCCTGGAGGCGGGCTGTGACATAAAGACAGAAGATAAGAATTTTAAACATTGCTTTTTTCCTCAGGGAGTCATTTTTAAATACAACACATTTACCAGGTCCTTATAACTTAGTGACATATGTAATGTAAGGTGTTGAGACATTATAAAAAAATATATATTTATATATAATTGCTTATCTGTCGCCACTTTTTAATAGCGGGTAGCTGGCTCTTCCACATTAACTTTTTAATTTCTCAAAATAACAAACATTAATCCTAGGGGTTAGGGTTATTTAGAGAGTCGGAAAAAAAGAAAAAAAAGTGGCGACAGATAACCCATAAGTACCAAAATATGGCTTTCACATAGAGGTGATTATTGCACCAACTCCACAGTGTCCCGAAGACTCCCCAGGACAGAGCTGGCCTTCTTTACCAGTCTGTTAAAGGTTATCTATTATGCAAAATCCACGTTTTCACGTCTTTTATACATAAACATGTGTCCCCTCTGTGTAAAGACATTCTGAAAGTTTCAGGAAAAGAGATTTGCTCACTTTTTGTCCTGATCTGTCTGAAAATGAGCTGATCAGATTTTGGCCACTTTATGATGTCATAACGATTTTTAGGCTTGTGTAATCCATTAGCCAATCACCAACCAAAGTACCCCCACCTTATCACCTAAATCTCCTCCTGTGTTCTTTTTAACCAAATATCCCTCAGAGGGGCGTGGGGAGTGGCTCCTTATTTTTCATCTAAAGTAACAGACACAGAATAAGCACTTTTGAAACAGGGCTGAAACAGAGGGGATTATGGGATGCTGCAATGCACGATCTGTTTGGTATTTCGAGCCAAACACTTCAGAGACATGTTTTGAGACCTATAATATAGTGATGTTAATATCAATATATTATTAATACTTTAAGTCTCTTCCTGTCAGCAGCCGATTAAGATACTGTTCTCTGTTGTTTTGCATTGTTTATACCATGTTTTATAAAACATACAGTATAATGTTATCAGCAGGAGGTGGTTGTAGTTCCCCTTTAAATCTTTGCACAACCCGGACTTCCGCATTGGAAGCCCCGCCCACCTCCCTTCAAATACTGCTGCTTTGCTCGCAGGTCTCGTGACTCTCATCTCCTCCACCAACATGATAACTGCTCTGAGGTTCTCTCTGCTGCTCCTCGGTGTCTCCTTCTCTCAGGGCTTTCTGAACGACTTCTTCGATGAAGAGGAGCAGGCTGAGCGCGTCGTCCAGGCTTCAAAGTACGGCTCTCTGTGGCCTCTGCCGCAGAAAGTGCAGCTATCCGAGGTTTCATTCAAGCTGAACGGCGTCAGCTTCAAAATAAGCGACGCCAAAGAGTCTACCGCGGGGTCGAGCTGCAGCCTCCTGCAGGACGCCTACCGGAGGTAAGAGCTCTTCATTCACATCTCACATCTAGAAGTACAAGTAGAGCGTAGGAATACTCTGGTACAAGTTAAAGTCCTGTATTCTAAATGTTACTCAAAAGTAGAAAGTATTGCCATCAAAATATACTTAAAGTACCAAAAGTAAAAGTAGTCATTGTGCAGATTTCAGAATAATATATATGATATGTTTTATAATGATTGATCATTAAAGTGTTCTCAAAGCTGGTAAAGGCTAGTTGAATGACTTTGTATACTGCAGGTAGCTTGTGAATGTACTCCAGGTGGAACTAAAGTCTGATTTTAACACATTTAACACTTAATCCAAATCTGTAAAGTAACTAAAGGTATTAAATATATAGTGGAGTAAAAGTACACAATGTACCTCTGCTTAGCACACATTTAAAAATCTCAAGTATAGTCTGTCAAAATTGTACTGAAGTAAAAGTTACTTTACACCACTGTCAATCAGTTTGTTTTTCGCTCTGTTTTCAGTTTCACTCTCTCTCTCTCTCTCCCTGTTTGCATTCATGGACCCTGATGGTAAACAATGGTCCTCCTCTCTCTGCCCCCCCACAGGTATTATGAGTACATGTTTGGCAGCTTTAAAAGGCAGGAGGGGAGGAAGAGCAGGCGCGCCGGCCCCTCTGATCTGACCGAGCTGCAGGTGTGGATCACCTCCTCTGAGTCTGACTGTGACTCTTTCCCCAGTGTGGCTTCTGACGAGTCATGTGAGTCTCTGCTCTTCCTCATTGTTTACACATTTATCATCAGGAAACTGTCACGTGACTCTGCGCAGTGGTGGTGTGTCCTTAAAATCTCTCTGTACAAATATACCTAGTTTCTGACTTGTGTTTAAGCACATTTCAGAGACATGTTGTTCCCCTTACTTCACTATGTATTTACCTGCTATGGCTACTTTACAGATAAAGATGTTGTATACATAATATGATAAACTGTCCAACAGAAAATAAAGTAGTTAAAAGAAGCTCCACAAGTCAAATGTTTCTGTGCTTCCACTTTTGAAACTGTATTATTTAATTAAATAATACTTACACTCATATTTTCAATGCATTACTTGTTATACTTTATCATCTTTACCTTGCTCAAAAAAACAAATCTTCTTTTATAAAAGACATTGAGGGAAGTTAAAGCACTTTTATTTTAATAACATTTTGAGGTGCTACTTTAAACCGTTTCCCCCAATTGAAATGTTGTACTATTTACTACATTTATTTGACCACTATATTCATCATTTTTCCAACTTGGCAACAGCCCTGTCTAGCTGCGGCCAGTTTTCACATTTTAGATGTCTGATTTAAGACAGGCTTGTATTTTGGCATTGCTGTATTGGTTCTTTAACATTAAGGAAAATAACTTTTCATAATGTGGGTCATTCATTTGATTCTCCAGGCTACAGTTCACACCTAAAGAAAGTTCATGACTCATGATTTAGCGGTGGAGTTAGAGATCACCTGGAGGGTAGACAGTCGGATTAACACAGTTAATGGTTTTAAACCCCCTCTGATTGTTTAAGACCCTGACTTTAGTACTATAATAACCACATGCTGAGCTTTGGTAACACTGACTACGCACATGCATTGCACACCTGTTTGTGTCCACAGACGAGCTGACCGTGGATCAGCCGTACGCTGTGCTCAAAGCACCGAAGGTCTGGGGAGCCCTGCACGGTAAATATTTAATTTAAGCACCATTTCAGAGACTTCCTGCGTTACGCCTGCAATCAACAATTATTTCCTGTATCCGTTAATCAGTACATCATATTTTCAAATGTCAACTTGCTGGTCAAGATCCTAAAGATATTCTATTTACAATTATATAAAAAAAGCTGAAATGTATTTGATATAAGAAGCTGGAAAAAGCCTTTTAGCTTGATGAATACTGTAGCTTAAATAATTTGTTTCAGTATTTTGTTCAATATTGATATTTAATAGCAGATATGAGAATGATATCAATCTTTTGGTCTGAGTCTCAGAAATAACCCAAACAATTCAAAGTATTTTTAATGATTAGTCAGTTATCACAACTGTTAATAAGTATTTTCTGTCAATGAATTTACTATAATCACTTCAGCATTATCCTGCATCATTATAAACACTGATGCAAAATGTTTGCATAAGATATATCTCTGAGTTTATATCAATGTAATATACACAATAAAAGGGTGTTTATAAAGTGCTTAGTCTGCAGAAAAGTTGTGTGGCAAAGTTAGCATCATAACACGATAGTGGTTTTTTTTTGTTATCAACTTTGATCACATTTCTAAGGGCTGCTATCAAATGACTAACCTCATTTTATTGTATCGTAAAAATGTTGTTTATTTTGAATCGTTGCAGGTCTGGAAACATTCAGCCAGTTGGTGTATGAAGATGAAAATGGAGCCGTAAGTTGAGAAAGAAATTGTTTTAACATTATTGTTTTTATGTTTTTATTCATATATTTAGGATCAAAGGTCAACTGTATGTGTTAACTCGGACTGATTTTCACTTTGCATCTTTCAGAAAAGCATCAATTCAACAACCATCAGCGACTTCCCCAGATTTGCTCACAGAGGCATCTTACTGGACAGCTCTCGGCATTTCCTGCCCATTAAAGTCCTCTTGGCTAATCTGGTACGTCCCCAACACCTTCTTTATTATGTTTTCTCATTTTAAATTGTATTCACAGCTTGAATAAAATATTTTCCTTGTGTCCATTCATACAGGAAACAATGGCCATGAACAAATTCAATGTTTTCCACTGGCACATCGTGGACGACACATCCTTCCCTTACCTGAGCCGAACGTTCCCGCAGCTGAGTCAGCAGGTCAGACTGGTTATCTCAGCACAGACAAGTAGAGTTTCAGTGCCTGTGCCTCACCTTTTAAAAACTTCTCTGATGTCCTTAGACTTTAAGGACAAAATGTCCCAATTGAAACCCATTAAAACACAAGGACATTACAGATCAAATAATTTGTTCTTATATGTTGTATTATGACATACTTCTTCAGTCTCATGTCCCTGGATTCTTGTGTTTTGGATCTTTTTTGTGCCATTTAACAAAGGCAAATACATGCCAATTTTTCCTGGTTTTCTTATAACAGGTCTATTATAAACTGAAACTGAAATAGTCCTAAGGCTTAGAGGACAAAATGTCAGTGTTAAAAAAAAAAAAAAAAAAACTGTCACCAAAATGATGTTAATATTATTTTGCTCTTTTGTCTACAAATCGATTAAATTATAAAAACACAGAAAAATATTAATTATCCGAAAGCTAAATGATATATACATTTCTAGTCTGGGATATGTCAGTGATATGAAAGAACACATGTTGATAGATGTATGTTTTTGTGCAAGAAAACCAGGAAATTGGCATGTATTTGCCTTTGTTAAATGGCACACAAGAATCCAGGGACATGAGACTGAAGACCTGTCATAATACAACATGTAAGAACAAATTATTTGATCTGTAATGTCCTTGTGTTTTAATGGGTTTCAATTGGGACATTTTGGTCCATTAGGGTATTTCAGTTTATAATAGACCTGTTATAAGAGCTGAGGTTGTTCTTCCAAAATTCATAATTGGAAATAAAAATCTCACACCCATGACAAACTGACAGCCAAACTGATCGAAGAATTGGAAAGCCAATTGAATCCCTTGTGGCGCACAAGTTTTAATATAGAGACATTGTTTGATTACACTGTTTGCAGGGCGCCTACCACCCGTACACACATGTGTACACACCCGCCGACGTGAAGATGGTGATCGAGTTTGGACGTCTGCGAGGCATTCGTGTTATCCCAGAGTTTGACACACCCGGACACACACAGTCCTGGGGCAAAGGTGCGTTCAGCCAGTGTTAGTGGAGAGAGAGTTTATTTTGTTACCCTCTTAAGTCCAATGGCATGTTTTGCTCCCAATCCTTGTCACATTTTATACAGTCAGTCAAATGTGACGTTCAAAAACTGGAAGACTTTAGCAGAGCACTATCTGGAAACGATTAAACATGCTACATATTCCTTGTGTTTTCCTCTCAGGGCAGAAAGACCTTCTCACCCCGTGTTACTCTGGCTCTAAACCCTCGGGCACCTTCGGCCCAGTGAACCCCATCCTGAACACCACCTATGACTTCATGAGCCAGTTCTTCAAGGAGGTCAGCACCGTGTTCCCCGACGCCTACATCCACCTGGGGGGGGACGAGGTGGACTTCAGCTGCTGGTAAGACTGTCTGCACAATGCCAAAATCACTTCTCCTCAGCATCAAGGATTAGACAGCAGGTCATATTTGGCTATATATGTTTTTCTCCTGCAGGAAGTCCAACCCGGACATTCAGAAGTTCATGGAGCAGCAAGGCTTCGGAAAAGACTTCACCAAACTGGAATCCTTCTATATCCAAAAGTATGTTAATCATTGTATACTCGGTAAAATGTAGGTTCTACTCATTTATGACTTTCAATTTATTTTGTGCCTTTTATTGTTTTATAGACTCTTGGATATCGTGGCCACTACCCAGAAGGGCTACATGATCTGGCAGGAGGTCTTTGACAACGGTGTTAAGGTAACTAAAGAGTAATTTCCATGTTAGATATACTAATGTAGTATAAGACTTTCTTATAATTTTAATAATGTGTGTTTTTTTTTTTTTCATTTTGTGTTTTTAAAGAGAAAGTTTGACATTTTTGGAAATACACTTCTTTGCTTTCCTGTTGGATTTAGGAGAAATAGATAATAGATATATTAACATGTCTGTTAATATATTGCTGCTTGATTCAAAAGCTGAAGACTGGGGGTAGATGTAGGGATGCATACCGGTTCCCGGAAATACCGGTTACTGGCGGCTACTATTTTTGTAATATAAAGTGAGGCATAATATCCTTAAACTCACGCCCAAACCGCCAGCCGGTTTGCGCGTCTTGCAACGGCTTCAGTGATTGGCTTGATTGCCAAGCAACGCCCTTCACCTTCCTCCCGAACGTCTGAGCCTTTCGGTTAGCTTTCGTTTTTTCATTAGCTCGATGTTGGCAAGGAAATCCAAAGTGTGGCTGCATATGACTGCCAGTCTGAATGGTGGGGTCTGTAACCACTGCCAGTCTGAATGGTGGGGTCTGTAACCACTGCCAGTCTGAATGGTGGGGTCTGTAACCACTGCCAGTCTGAATGGTGGGGTCTGTAACCACTGCCAGTCTGAATGGTGGGGCCTGTAACCACTGCCAGTCTGAATGGTGGGGTCTGTAACCACTGCCAGTCTGAATGGTGGGGTCTGTAACCACTGCCAGTCTGAATGGTGGGGTCTGTAACCACTGCCAGTCTGAATGGTGGGGTCTGTAACCACTGCAAGAAGTTTATTTCTGGGAAAGGCGGCAACACATCCAACCCCTCAAAACATTTGCTACTGTCACATAAAATCAGAGTACAGGAATGTACAGTCTTCAAGCCTGTGTTGTCAAACGTGTTTTACATTGTTTGTTCATTACTAAAAGGTAGAAGTCCCACTATTAATTCTAATATTAATTTGACATGTTACCTATATCATAAATCGCTTCAATTTTTCCCTTATGCAACATGAAAGTATCACGATATGTATCGGTATCGTTCAGTGGTATCGTAAAAAGTCAACGATATGCATCCCTAGGTAGATATCTAAAATAACAAAACCCACCTACCAGCTCTTATAAGTGCCTTTTTTTTGTACAGATTACACAAATAATATATAGGTTTATAGGTACTGTGAGGCAGATTTTGTTACACTTGGGTAAAGCCAGGCTTGGCTGGCTGGCTGTTTCCCATTGTTTCCATTCTTCATGCTAAGCTAATTGGCCTCTTGTGGTTTCTTCAGATTTTACATGAAATGTTATCAATCTAATCACCAAAGTCCCAGCTAGAAAGAAAATAAACGTATTTCCTTAAATGTCTAACTATTTGTAACCAATGTCAACAGGTCATGTAGTATGTAACCTAAGTACCGTAGCTTGGTCTGTAACTATTGCAGTTAAAGGCAGACACAGTAGTGCATGTGTGGATCGGCGGCGGAGCTAGTGACGAGATGGCTAAAGTGACAGGAGCAGGGTACACCACCATCCTCTCCGCCCCATGGTACCTAGATTACATTAGCTACGCACAGGACTGGCAGAAGTACTACAAGGTTGAGCCGCTCAACTTCAACGGTCAGTGTGCGTCAAAATGACATTCTTTGTCGAATCAGTTTTGGTGGAGGGGGTTACGATTTGGGCATGGGTTGGGCACAACCCAAATATGGATGTTGTTCAACAGGCTTACACTTGCACAGTTTTGTGACAGAGATAGTCAGAGACAGACGTTAAGGCGAGATGGAGCTGTTTGGTTGGTGGTTTTACAAGTAGTTCACCATCATGGAGGACCAAAAACACAACAATGTCTTAAATGGCGTCCAAACAGAGTGCTGCACGAATGAGTTTGCAAAGCCCGGAAATAATAGTTTCATTTTGGTTGGATGCCATTGGATTTTTCCAAGGCTCAATTTTGAGTTTGGCCTTCCAAAATACTTCATCCCTTGCAGCGGTCTTTATAAAAAGGCTTGGACATCTCTCTATCTTGCTGATACTGATACTTGTATGTATGTGTGCTGTGTAGCTGAAACAAGACACACTTATCCACGTTTGGAAAGGAAACAAGCAGCAGTACCAGAGTGAGATGGCTAACATTACATCGTCAGGGTACCAGACCCTGCTGTCCACTCCCTGGTACCTGAACCGTATCTCCTACGGCCAAGACTGGAAGGGCCATTACCAGGCCGACCCGCAGGACTTCCAGGGTTCGTCTGCATGATTATTTTGCTTAGCAAGCCTCTAGCAATAACTGGTCATTTGCTTGCTTGTGCAACATTGCTTTTATAGTAAACAGAACTTTGCCACAGTCATAAATTCAGTTTTATTGTCCTTCAGCTGGTCCGAATCAGATTGTATAAGCTGTATTGCTTTGACCCTTGTCATTTTGTTTGTCACTCCTGTGCAATTATGTGCAAGCCTGTTGAATAAACAGAGGGAAAATGTTTTAAAAGGGGTATATTATGCTCATTTTCCTATTTATACATGATTACATGTAAGAACATTTTAACATGCTTTAATGTTTGCAATTGCTTCTTTCATTCCCACTTCTGAAAATGTCATGTCATCCCAAATTGGTTTGTAAGCAACATATGCTGTACTTTAAAACAGTTTTTCATAATATGTCCCATTTAATATTTGGATATCAAATGAGAGAACAGAACCACATCATTATTTTGTATTCTTTAGACTCCCTGGAAGTAGCTTCGGCTGCCTTTTCTCATTAAATATTTCATTTTCAAACAGGAACTGATGAACAAAAGAAGCTTGTGATTGGTGGAGAAGCCTGTTTGTGGGGGGAGTATGTGGACGCCACCAACCTCACACCCAGACTCTGGTATGATATTCAGTAAACAATTTTTATATTTTTGGAACCATAACCCACTACAGGAGTGTACAGTGAGGTCTGATTTTGTTTTGCGTCCCCCCCCCCCCCCCAGGCCTCGGGCCAGTGCCGTCGCAGAGCGTCTGTGGAGCGCCAAGGAGGTGACGGACATCAACGACGCCTTCAACAGACTGTCTGTGCACCGCTGCCGCATGGTGGAGTGAGTATCTGAGGCATTAAACGATCAATAACATTCAGATAATTTCCTTTTTGAAAGAATCGGATGAGAGCAGACCAGACATTGAACTCTTTTCCTGTGGTTATTTGACAAGTATAACCACATTCAGATGACTGTTTGGGCACACTGTTCGGCTTTTTTACTGTGACCAGTAATGCATTAAAGCATGACTGGAAATAAGACATTATTTTATTTCAATTCTACTCTGTTACTTTGACATTCTTGCAGCAAGTCGGTGTATATGAAAGTTAGCCAGTTACGATTCTTGCAACTGCACACATAAAAATGACCGTCCTGCTTTGTTGATCTGAACTCTATGATTTCAGAATGTCATAAAAAGTAATTGTGTAGTTTGCCATAAAATAGTTTTTATTATAGCATGTCATAAAATAAATCCTAAAAAGCATTGTATAATGAAAGTCATGAAGTTCACAAAGGTGAATCAGAAATACATTAGTACATATGTTTCCCGTAGCAGTCTCTAAATTATTTATCCAACGAACACACTCCTTTTTTTTAAAGAATGCTCATTTCATAAAAAACCTATTAACGCGTATCTTCTATCTAAGGCGGGGGATCCCTGCTGAGCCGCTGTTTTCCAGCTACTGTCCCCGAGAGTACAGAGGTGTCTGAACAGAAACTGAGACTTGCCATGGGAACAGCAATCAACAATGTTTGTATTTCAAGCTGAAGAATCATGCTGCCTTTTTAGAGATCTCACTGTCCTTTAGCCGAGACACATCATGCTTCTTAAATCTGCTCTACAGAACTCTTGATCATCACATAATGTCATAAATATCTTGAATTTATGATTGCACTCTTTGTTTTTTATCAATGTTTGTATAAATGATTGTGAATAAAATGTTGACATTTTAAGTGAGTCTTGTTTCATATGAAAAAAGGAGGGAGAAAAAAAGGGTATGAAATACTGTTTCTGTACATGTATTTTGCATCCAGCTAACAACATGGAACATAATTACACCAATAGTTTCACACTCTTTCCTGCAGGGGGAATTCCCACAATAAATTACATTAGAATGACTTTTTCTGATATTAGTTGTAAATCCTGGCAAAGTCTTTTCCGTGCCTCTGTTTCAGACAGCCTTTGGTCCCGTTGGTGAAGAGGTTTTATTGTTGAGATCACAGCAGACCAGACACTCTCTTCAGGAGGGTGTTCTGGTCCTGGGGGTTCATCGCCTCGTAGGTGTCCAGCTCTAATGTGAAGGTGGCGTTACCGGAGGTCACTGTTCGCAAGATGGTGGAATAGCCCTTAAAAAATAAATATTAAAAGTATAGAGTCAGGCTTGGAGTACCAGATGTTCAGAGCCAGAAGTAGGATACCATTAAATGTATTTCAAATTACAGTTACAGAAACCAATACATGTAAGCAGGATTACAATTATTAAAAAGTCTCATACATTGACCTCATTGAATTGACGTGGGATCACACATGTTCCATTTGATGTATATATTTCCTTACTTGCTAATTTTACAAGACGTAAATAAATGTAGATTATACAGAACAAACTGGGAATTTAGCATGTTAGTTGTCATTTACAGTGGTATTACTGCTGTAAAAAAAAATTGAAAACACTAATATCATTTTGTCATTAGAGGATAACAGGATTTCCACAAATGGTTGCACTGTACTGTGAGGTTGTTCCCCTTGTGTGTCTTTATTTGTCTGTGGGACCGTGATATTGTATCTTTCGGGAGGAATAGGATAGTTTTTATGTAAGTGTATCTATCACTTAGCAGCTAAAAAGTACAGACAAATGTTGATTGGCACGTCGTCTCACCATCATCTCAGCCAGAGGCACAGTGGCGAGCAGCACTTTGTCGTCATGGCGACTCTGGATGTCTCGGACGGTCCCTCGTCGTTGTGCTAGATCTCCCAGAACAGAGCTCAGGCGCTCCTCCTCCACGGTCACTTCCAGGGACATCACCGGCTCCAGAACCTGACCTCCTCCCAGCCTGAGAGCCTGGAGCGAGGGAACAGAACGAGTTATCAAGGGTCCTGATGTTCACAGGTATTACATGGAGCGACACACTGAAAACACTGCACTACAGCTACGACCAGCATTTAAAATCTCACTAAGGTGAATATATGGAAGACAAATCATACATTTACTATTATATTTGAGGTTTTTGGATTAGATTTCTACTACAATAGTGCATTTTGCCACTGCGTGTTAACAGCTGAGCTATTTTTGCTGTCAATAAATCTTAATTTAAAACCTGATATCTTTAAAGCATTGTCTAGTGGGCTGAGTAAATCTTAAAAGTCAACTGTCCATGAGCCGTTTTCAGCTTTGTGCATTTGCCAGCTCATCCAAGAGGGTTTAAGATAATTAATGTAGTTACGGGTAATTCATTTGAATTAAGATTTTTAATTAGCTTATACATCAGGAGAATTTTCTCATCACATATAGGAACATTTAATCCTTCAGTTTATTCTAGAAATTCTAATTCTGTAATTCATGTTATTGTTATAGAAAATGTAATTAACTTAATCTACCAGAGCATTCATGGAGTAAAAAGTACAATATTTAAAGTATAAGTATCTCAACATTTTACTAGACGACAGTGCTTGTGTAAATGAAGTTTGTTACATCCCTCCCTGCCGATGAATACCTTCTGCATGCAGCGGGACACACAGGCGGACACCATGGCAGGGGACGTTCCCGGCTCCATGTGGACACTTTGGATCAGTGCAGACACTCCCTGTAAAGGATAACCTAGCAGAGGACCTAGAGGGGAAAGCAGGGATTGTAAATAACTCATATTCATTAAAAAAATGCAATCTTTCCTTCTGAAAGGGACGGACACTGCAGGAGAAATTAGATGTGTTCCATGGTACCTTGTAGATATGCGCTCTGTACTCCATTCTCCACGGCCTCCTTTATTTCAGCAGATAGCTTGGCCCCCAGTTCTTCTGTGAAAGCGAATTCACATGAGGAGGAGTCCAGAGGGGTGACGGCCAGCTCCACGGTAACAACATGTCGTCTCTCCCCGATAGTACGATCCAGCGTTTCTGCGTTTAGAGATGAGCAGGCAATTCATACAAAGATCCTTATTGGGAAAAGTACAGTATGAATCTGTCAGGAGTTATGTATTCTCCTCACATCAGCTAATGAAGCCATTATCAATCATGGTCTTTCTTTCATATTTCTGGACATACTGTACTATGATTTTTTTAGACATATTATATATATATATTTTTTTTTTACCTGCTATAATTTGTCGTTTGTTTATTAAAATAAATCGACATGTTATACTATGTCGTATTTGATGATATATTTGACATACTATATAACTAACTTCCTTGATATTTTTGACACACTGTCCTATGTCGTTTTATTTTGCCATTGTGAATATTATCACAATTATTAGTTTTTTGTTGGTAAAGTTTAGGGTTTGATTGTTGAGGAATCTTTTGCCTTGTTTTGGCATTTCTTACGTACAAAGTAAAGTCGTTTCTATATTTTCAATATATTAAAATGTAATATTTTTCATATTTTGACATAATTTACTAGTTTGTTTTTAATTATATTTACGACAATGTCGTTTTGTTCTGATATTTTTTACATACTATGAAAATGGTCAGCTATTTTTAATTAACAATTGTGTAATACTTAACAGTAGTTATTTAATTGAATTGAATTAAGTATTGGTGCAAATGGATTGTTGGTAAATATTATACAAATTAAGATTATTTATTTATTTTGACATTAATGTCCTCCAGTTTCCTCTCTAAGAGCATCATAGCAACGCCTCCCCTCCTGATGGTTTTTGCATATTTTCGATACTATCCAATGTCTTTAAAACTTGCTTGTGTCTAACTGTTCTATGACAAAGCATGCATTTTAAACACACTTTTGTAAAGATGAACATAGTGGAAGATGTGCAAGGCTTGTTACGTGTTGCCCTGTGTGACAGCCCCTTTGTACCTGTGGATGAGACCTTGTGGAGGATGGACTCTCTGTAGGCCACCTGCAGCGGCCCGAGGTCAGTCTCAATGCCGTACTCTCTTCTGATTCGATCATGGATGATCTCGATGTGCAGCTCTCCCATCCCACACAAAATAGTCTGAGGATGGAGACAATACGTTTACTAATTGTGGAAGATGCTCTCCACAGTACGTGAGTTTTAGGTTAGATATTGGACAGACAAGTTAATATATCTGTCAATATCCAACCTTACTTTTAGGTTAGATATTCAACAGATATTGGCAGAAGCTGAGTGCTAATCCAGTGATTGCATTACCTGTCCAGAGTCCGGGTCCAACCTGACTTTAAGGCTGGGGTCCTCTCTCTGGAGGTTATTCAGTGCATTCTCAAGATCTTACAGGAGGGGAAAAAACAAAGGAGGGTATTGATAACTGAATAATATGAATTGGTTATCATTAAAGCTTGATTTAACAGCTATTTTAGAGATCATCTTTTAACCAGTGTCTCGTACCAGCCTGTTTGGCCATGGTGGGCGGCTCGATGGTGCAGAAGAAGACGGGTTCAGGGACCTCCACCCCTGAAAGCACCACGCTGGCGTGTTCCCCGCACTTCGCCCCTGTCCCGCTGTCATTATGGGCCCGGCGGGCGGCGGCGGCTGCTGAAGACTTGGAAGAGACGATGGTGTCCCCGGTGACTGTCTGAAGTAAAAGTGGAAACATCAATTATTGTATTAAAGAGGAAAATCTTCAAAATAGCAAATAAAGATTATAATGTTGTAAAAATGTCTACCTGCTTCAGTCCTACAGTCAGAGCGATGTTTCCCGCCGTCATCGAGGGGATTTCTACATTCTGATCAGCAAACGGCACCATCAGCCGGCTAATCCTCTCACTATGAAAGGAAGGCAAACAGTTGTTATGGTCGTCTTTGTTTTTATATTTATTCTAACTCTTCCTTGAACATTCCATCTCTAGTATTTTTGTTTGGGAAGTGTATTCTTTTCTTTCTTCTTGATATTTAAATAAAATGTGTATCTAATGTCTGTGTATATTCTTATGTCATTACTTCTTTCCTGTGTAGTTTCATCATATGCACAAATATAGAACTAGTCAACATTTGAGCATATTATTATAGAAACTGCAGTACATACACGCTGTTCCTGTTGATGTTGTGGACAGCAGACTGTGGTTTCAGAGTACCAGAGTAAATCCTCAGAAACACCAGAGGGCCGCGCTGCTTATCATGGAGAACTTTGAAGGCCAGAGCACATAAGTCGTCTTTGTACCACCGCCTGCAGAGGATATAGAGAATAATCAACAAATGTACATCGGAAAATTATGTAAAAGGCATGGAATATTCATTAAAAGGACAATTCCAGTATTATTAGATTTCTTTGTAATTTATTTAATTATTTTGTGCAATGTTCTACACAACTGTAACCTTATAATGAGTCAGTTTGGATGAGAAGTTGTGTTAAAGATCACTTACTTTAGCCTTTATACTTTTTGTTTTCAAATTAACTATTAAAAATGCTTATAAGAAATGTACATGTTAATCATCACTCGCTTTCATTTGTGTATTTGACTCTCAAAATAAAACTTCCCTGAAGTGAACAGATGTCTCTTTGTTTCAATTTAATGCAACAAAATGTGAAGAAATAATATTTCCTCAGAAACAGTCAATATGATTCAATTAAAGCAAAAACCGAAGCCTGCCTTTACCTAGTTGCAGCTCAGGACTATCACTTTTTGTGATAACTGTGGAAGTGTTAATAGTCAGATTTTGTCAAAAATAAAAATGCACCAAGACGAAAAAAGGCAAAGAATAATATGTGTTAGAAAGCAGAACTTGGACACCAATAACGCTGGGATGGTCCTTTATGACAAGATTGTAGGTCTGAGTTAGTGAAAGGTTAAAGGGTGCACTCACACCAGGTCATGGTGCCGTTCATTGGGGGCGGGCAGGTAAGCAGTGATGGCGTCTAGAAGAGGCTGAACACCTTTGTTCCTCAAAGAGCTCCCACAGAGGACCGGGACGCCTTTACGGGCCAGAGTCACCCGCCGCACGGCCTCCTGCAGCTGGGGACACATCAGCAAGGTTTACCCTGTATTCACAAGTAACAGTGGTACTTTAAAAGGCTGATGTTGTGGTACAATACAACACTTACTTTGATTGAGGGAACTTCATCAAAGTTTTCACCAAAATCAGTCAGCAGCAAATCAGCAAACTCATTGTCCAGATCAGCAACCTGTGATTGAGAAATTGGAGATTTTCAGCAGTGTGGACAAACTCTGGTGAGATTTTACAAATAATTCATATATGACTTTTGGGTTATTTCCAATAACTTACATATTGTAGTTTAAAATGAAAAGCGGACTAAAATCTGTTAAATTATCTCTCTCCTAACCTTATGTCCCATGAAACAATACTGTACCATTTCTTCCTGACTTTTTTTAAATATTCATATTAGATATCCAGATTTACTACAGTTAGACCATAAACATAAGACATTTTAAGAAATGCATTTAATTGAAATAGAAAAGTATTGATTTGATTTACATTCAATTTAAAAAGCAGCAGATACAGGAATGCTCTTTGTAATATGTGGTCACACCAATCAAATACTGACCTATCAAACGTTAAACTGTGTAATATTGTTAGGTAGTAAGTTTGATAGATTTCTTTTTTTTACTGCTCTAGAAATGCTTTTATTGTTGTTTGGACTGTGGCTCCCTATACGTTTTTGTTCTGAAACATACCTGCTCGATTAAAGCCGTCCGGGCCTCGCTGACCTCCTGCAGGAGCTCTGGCTCCTCCGACTCGTCCAGAGGTGTGATTTCAAAGGTCCGACCATCTTCCTCATCTCTCATTGTTTTGTGTTTCCATATCAATTTCTGATTGGTCAACAAGTCCACCACACCGGAGAAGTCTTTCCCGCTGCCGACAGGAATCTGGGAAACAGGAAGTACCTATTATTAACATGTTATGATACTTCACATCATTTAAGAAGAAGATATTATACTTTGCTTCATTCATTTGATAAGTTTATTCTCTTGTATAATTCCATAATAGGATTGCCACCACAACATAAATAATAAGGACACAAATCGCGATTTATTCTGATATTATGTATATAAAGTTGCAAAAGTAGCTCATCCTCTGCTACATTAAAGTGATGTACACATCAATCATTATAATTCATTAGCATGATAAATAGGATTCTTCAAAAAGTAATTGTATGATGTTCTTCAAATAAAGCTTCAAAGGCTTACTTGCAGGAGGACTGGATTGGCTTTCAACTTCTTTTTAATGCTCTCTATGGAAAAACTTAGGCTGTGTGAGAAATTGAAAGAAGATATCAACTGAAATCGTTATAAAAACATTTTTTAAATGTGTTGATATTAGGACTGTTGAGTCACTCACCTTGCTGCGGGCTTATCCATCTTATTCAGGAAACAAACACAGGGCACGTGGTGCTTCTCTGCCTGCCTCCACACGGTCAGAGTCTGAGCCTGTTATCAAAGCAACAGAAGAAAATGTGTTCAGAGCAGGGCTGATGGTAAGGATTTGTTTTATCATTGATGAATCCGCCTATTTCATTTTTAATTGATTAGTTGTCAGATCAAAGAAAAAGGCAAAAAACTGTGAAAAATGTCCATCCTAGATTCTCAAAGATGATGTCTTTAAATGTCCTGTTTTGCGAGTCAAACCCCAAAGATATTTGCCTTCATATAATTTTAAATAGTAGGTAATCATATTTAAGAGGCTGAAACAGCATTTCATGTGACTTTATTTAAAAATAGCTGTAACAATTAATATCAAAATACTTTCCAACTGGTTGACTAATCGTAGCGGTTCTGGTTTTTTTTTTATGAAAAAAGAAATAAGCAGAAGGGTCACCTCAACCCCGGCAGAAGCATCAAACACTGCAACAGCTCCATCGAGAACACGAAGAGCCCGCTCTACCTCCAGAGTGAAGTCTACATGTCCTGTAATCACACACACAATCGTATTTGAGTGGCTGCCATTCTCATTTCCATTGGAGTGTTTCATTCTCACATAAACACTTTTTCTACCTGGTGTATCTATGAGGTTTATTCTATGAGTTTTCCATTCAAATGTGACAGCTGCCGACTGTATGGTGATACCACGCTCCCTTTCCTGAGCCATGAAATCTGTGACTGTATCCCCGTCATCCACATCTGGAAAAAACAAGCAGCAGAAATGTAAAAGAAAGATGGAAACAATCAGGTACGAAATCCACACTTGTGTAACCATCGTACTCACCTCCTAGCGCTCTCGTATAGCCAGAGTAATACAGCATCCTTTCTGTGGTCGTTGTTTTTCCTGCGTCAATGTGAGCCATAATGCCGATGTTTCGGATTCTGCAGATATAGATGAACAAGTTAACACGGAGCCCAAACACAGCTGAGTCTAAAGAGCATTTAAAGGCTTAAAGCAGAATTAAATAACCTACTTGGATACATCAGGGTTGACCACAGCCCGCAGCGATTTGACGTCATCTATCACAGTGAACATAAAGTATAATTATGAGGATGGGACTGAATCAGCAAAGTGTTAATATTGATGTGAAATGCCACATGAAGCTTAAGGCAAGTTCAACCAGGAAGACCGTCTTTACTCATTCATTCACATGTTCCCATCTTACTACTCTCTCTCCTCTCAATCAGTGATTTGGGTAAACTCCCCAGCTAAACCTATCACTTCTCTCTATTCCCACAAGCCTATCATAGCACTCCGCTAAACCTTTAAATCTGCTCTCTCCCCTCTGACAGCTGTCATTTCAGGTGACTCGACGCAACCCTCCTCCACCCCTTTCACCTCCTGTCCCTCTGAACCCAGGGTCAAGATAAACCACTCCTCTTCAGACCGACCCAACTATCCATTCACCACCACCAGTGTCTAGACCCCGGGGGGGTTTCATCGGCTCGGTTCTCCCCTCCTGAGTGATACTCCCGCACAACGGGGTCTAATCGCCAAACACCATTTAACTCATCTGTGTATTCCTTGTATTATATCACAAAACTTGTCTCTCCTGATTGAATTACTTAAACCATCAAAATGAAGGTTGTGTTCCTCTATGTATTGTGAAAGTCCCCTACTTTTAAGATGAATAAACTATTCATAAACAAATAAACTTGTTTTTTTATATATAGGTGGTTATCACAGGACATCGTAAATCTACAAACAATAAAGATATAATAGAAAATGATGCATTTCTGGAACAAAAAACACCCAATGATGTATAAAAGAGATAACTAAAACACATCATACACATTAATGTAGGACTAATAAGACTCCAAAAACCTGTACATCACTAGCTTTTCTGCATACTGAATACTTTTACCAACATTTTGCTTATAATAAAATACTTTCTATAGGTGACGTTTGTTTGTATTTGTAAACGTACCTGGAAGAATTATGTAGTGTCTTCGTACATGACAGCTCACTCTACATCTGCAGCTCTGGAGCCCAGCAGTTAATACATACCTTCCCTGTGAATTAAAATAAGCTTGTCTTGAAGTCAACATGATATTAGGAATATGTATTACAGAAAGCACTTCGTTTGACGTATTATATCTTACCCAAATCATCCTGTTAAATGTCCCACAGGCTTTAATGTCTTCTTTTATCTTCCAAGGTCTTTCCACATAATTTGTGTTAGTTTTGGACGAACCATAGTGGAGTGACACTCACTAACACAACAGTAACAACAGGCCGATACGTATGGCTATAACCAGTACATTAATACAAAATGTATCCCACTCTCAAGCATTAAATTGTGCTACAAAAACCATAATCTGTTATCAAATGTCACGCTTTCATATGGTACGGCTTGAAAATACATCCCTAGAAACAAGCGTGATTATTCCCGGTTACAGCTGGTTCCGTCACTATATTTCTGTCTTTATTTAAAAAGTATAACGCAGTACTAGCTGTTATATGTCATTTGTATCTTTAATAAATAATGACTGATCTATCAAGTGCTTACACGTTTTTTATCCAATTATATTTTTATTTATCGTCTTTAACACGGTTAAGTGACACGGTAAGATGTTGAAAACGTTCACTTTAGACGAACGGACAAACTGTTTCCTCCGTATGACGTACTTCCTCTAAGTATCGGCTACGGGGAAAACAACATCGAAACGACCCCAGCCTCAAGCGAAAACACAAAATACTCGCGTCTTTACCGACTGGCACCACCTGCGAAGTATTCACCGAAAGATTTAACACCACCAACACAAAATGGTATGAAGACAACCGTTTTTTATAGCACAGTAGTACTTTTATCAGTCATTTTAACAGGTTAGCATATCGTGCTAGCGGTTAGCATCAGTTCACATGTGGCTTGGTGACGTGCTGCTCTGACCTGGCGTTGTTTATATTGTTAATATTACAATTATGAGCCTGCTACATACAAAGATGCAGTTGAAATAACGAGTGTATGAGCATGCACGTGTTTATGTTGTGAATCTTTTTGAGGGATCTTTAGTTTTGGTTGTCCTTGCGGTGTTAATTGTAACGCAAATGCTTCGAAGTTGAAATGTAGTGGGAATGGCCATTGCGTTTTTATCGAGTGTAGACCTAATTTATAATTGAATAATAGGTAATTTTTGCAATTTAAATGAACGTGTAATATTCTAAAATTCTACTCTGGCTTAATTGTTTCTGTTCGCTTTTTTTGGTATTTACACGATTAAACGTGGAATTGTTAGATTTATGGCTGCAAGTAACATATTTTAATAATTGATCAGCGTGCCAAATGTATGATTACCTAGAGCCCGAAATGACGTCTTAAAATTGATATTTTAGCACCATAAACCCCAAACCCAAATGTAATCAATTTGCAAGTATATATAATAGAGAGAACCAGACATAGTTTGACATGTGTGCTAAAAAATGACGGGAAAGATCAATGCATTTTAAATAGATATACTTAGTTCGCTTTAAAAAGATCATTGATATATGGAAATGAGCCACTTTCCGAATAATGAAAGCCTATACAAATGAATGCAGCGCCCCATGTAAGAGACAATGCTGGACTAATGTTTTTTTACTCAGAACTGAGCACTGTAGATTTCTGCTCCAAGCCTTTGCATTTATTGTTTTTGTTTTCTTTTTTAGCCCCAGAACGAGCACATTGAGTTACATCGCAAGCGGCATGGCCGCCGCTTGGACCACGATGAAAGGAAAAGGAAGAAGGAGAGCCGTGAGGCCCATACGCGTTCCCACAAAGCCAGGACGCTGATTGGATTGAAGGCCAAACTGTACAACAAACAGAGACATTCGGAGAAGATCCAGATGAAGAAGACGTGAGTTTATTTATTTTTTTGTAAATTATGGCTGTCTTAAAAAACAAACCATGAAAACTATGCCAAATGAGCAGCTAAACAATTCTGACTTGTATTTTTGCAGCCTCAAAATGCATGAACAGAGGAGAACCAAGCAGAAGAACGATGATAAGACCCCAGAGGGAGCAGTGCCAGCCTACCTGCTGGACAGAGAGGGACAGTCCAGAGCAAAGGTCCTCTCCAACATGATCAAACAGAAGAGGAAAGAGAAGGCTGTAAGTACCACATCACATCTGTATGTCTGCAGTCCCTGTATCAGAATGTGGTAACATTGGGAGATGTTTTAATTGGTTTCTAATCACAAATATCTTGTGTATGTTTTCTGCAGGGCAAATGGGAGGTGCCCCTGCCAAAGGTGCGTGCCCAGGGAGAGACAGAAGTACTTAAAGTCATCAAAACTGGAAAGAGACAAAAGAAAGCCTGGAAGAGAATGGTCACCAAAGTTTGCTTTGTCGGAGATGGCTTCACCCGTAAACCCCCCAAATATGAGCGTTTCATCAGACCCATGGTAAGATCGCAGTGTCATTTGAATTGTTTTATTGCTTTTGACTTTAACTAACACACACAACTCTTTGCTTACATGAGTTCAGGCTTGAATGTCTGTTTTTAATTACGTTCCTAACTCCTAAATTACATCTTTCTCTTTAATCTACTTTAGGGTTTGCGTTTTAAGAAAGCTCACGTCACACATCCAGAGCTGAAAGCCACATTCTGCCTTCCCATCCTGGGAGTGAAGAAGAACCCCTCCTCCCCCCTCTACACCGCCCTGGGAGTCATCACAAAAGGAACCGTCGTGGAGGTCAATGTCAGCGAGCTGGGCCTGGTTACACAAGGAGGAAAGGTTATCTGGGGTGAGTGTGAATCCCTTGGTGTACTTCATGTGTTTCTGCACAGTGGCTGCAGATAAGATTAGGCTACGCTAATATTATAAGTATTAAACTATTTGTAGATTTAAATTCTAGCAGCCATGTAGGTTTCTTTCAGACTTCAAAAGATTAAAATAAATCCAAAGTGTTGTAAAAAGCAAAAGTCAACATTAATTGAAAAAACAAAGATATCATTTGCAAAAACATGTTTTTATTTAAGTTTTATCCAAACAAAACTTCAAAAGAAGCGTAAAATCTTTTTTTTTTAAAGCCCTAATGTATTGGCATGTTCTACGGTAATATGTCTATTAACTATCTTAATAATAATAATTAAAAAAACACTTTGTAAACAAAAGATGTGTGATTGTGCTCTAACCAATATATGTATTTTCCTTCCCAGGTAAATATGCCCAGGTGACGAATAACCCAGAGAACGACGGCTGCATTAATGCGGTCCTGCTGGTATAAGACTGGACCTTTATACAGACTCTGCCTGGTAGCTCTGAACACAAGAGAGGAATGTTGATAACAACAAACACACAGAGGAAACACGCTTTGAGTTCACATCACGGGGCGGACGGGGAGATGCTGATGCTGCGCCTGGCAACACAACAATTTTTGTAACAGAAGAAGAAAATGGGGTGATACTGTGTTAAATGTGACATAAATAAATGTTATGTGATCATATTTGTTCTCTTTGCTTTCTTGTTCAATATTCCATATAATAAGCAAATATTGTTAAGCGAGCTATTTTCCCCTGAAAACATTGAAACATTCCCATGCTAATATCCTAAAAGTTATGATAAATGTTTAATAAAGAAGGTACAAAAACAAGCCGGGCTCATGGTGAAGGGCTAACGTGTGCATACAAGATTTGAAAAGTACTTGTGATTTTGAATAAAGTGCTTGAAATAGTTATTGAAATACTTCAAGATTAAATTGCTGATCTGACTGAATAGTTTGCTATTTAGATTCAAATAAAACAAGTATTACAAAGTTTACAATGTCTGTCCAAAATGCATCACGTGATCTTGATTTTAAAAAAGAGGACTACTTTTCTTAAATAATGCTTCGGCCGTTGTAAGTGCTCCTGAAAGGCCAATGCATAGAATATGAGCCATTTACTGACGTTTCTAAAACAAGACAGATTTAGTTGAGACTTTGCAAGAATAATATAAGGATTGAGTTCAGTAAACATTTGGGTATGTCTTAGTTTTCCCTAATATTTTCCAGCCATAACTAGTCAACTAATCTGCTTAAAGACATTGGTAAAGTTCCTAGAATATAATGAACTCTGCTTCACAACAGCAAACAAGGTGGTGAGTGTTAAATGTATCAGCAACTCTTTAACCCTTGTGTGTTCAGGTCAAATTGACCCATTTTAAATGTTCACAAAAAATAAAATACAAGGATATTTTTCTTTCAATATAAAACTCCACGGCTTTATCTTGTTTTCTCTGATGAACACGTAGACATATTACTTTTGCTTAAATACAGTTACGTCCTTCATGAGATGTTCTGGTGAGTTGGACCTGGATCAATTCTGAGTCACAGACACACCAAGAAACTCACTCTGTCAATCAGTCACACACACCTTATACATTGTTACAATCAAAGCACTGAGAAGCAGTCTGCTTCTGTTTTCCTGTCTTTGTAGATTGGGAACCTGCACAATATTATTCCAGAACAATCTAAACATTTCACATTTACTCGCACTGAACCTCTCACACCTGCACACTGAGGGGGGGGGGGGTGTCTCTGCTCAGAGGGGCTTGGAGCTCATATGGGATTATATAGTGTTCAAACCGTTCAAACCCAACCAATAGCCCCCCCCCCCCCCCCCCCCCCTTATTATAATAAGATACGATAACAAATAATAAACATCAATACTAAAATAGTTTATTTTGTATTTTGCTGGATCATTATGAATATGTATTCCTTCCAAGTCTTTATTATTTTGGATGTGGATAATAACTGTCACAAAAAACAAATCTAGCAGAGAGTAATTGCAAATATGAATCATAAATGCTACATGTATTGTAAGGACATAAGATAAAGCAAATATATATTAGGGACTTTATATGTGTTTTTTGTTTTTTAAGATGATAATCATGGCTCAGGTCAGTTTGACCTGAACAGTACCAACGGGTGTAAAATGCGAACATAATACAAGGGTTACAAATATTCTAACACGTTTAGTGTAATCTTTTAACTTTTCAATAAAGCTCTCCTACAGGCTTCTTCCTATTCCTCCCTCTCGTTGTGTGCACGGCTCTGTGTTGTTGGAGGCAGGAAGCAATTGACACAGCACCTCTGAAGCAGCAGAATCACTGTATAGACTATAGATGTGTTTAACATTATGTTATTGTATTTTCGTAACACATTGAAACTGTACATTTAATCATTTTCTAGGTTGGCTGAAGTATGACACTGACTATATTATAGATGAGGTACAGTTTGTATTAACGTGTATATTTTATATTATGAGGCTTCAAATTAGTATATTGTGTCAAGACTTACCCTTAAATTAATTGTACTGATAATTCTTCTCCTGCGTCACGCTTTCACTGCAGCATGACGTCTACTGTCATCTCATGCTAAAACTGTTACTTTAA